ATGAAGGAATTACGTTCTCCTATCCCTGTTCCCTCCAGAATTTAGAAATTCTAAAGTTTCTAGGACTGCCAGGAAGTGACCTTCCTTACCTGTAAGGTTGGGAGCTGGGAACCCTGTAAGCAAGGTCTCAGGTCAGTTTCTCCAAAGGGCCTTTGTAAGCGTTGGCACCTCAAAGGTGATCGCAGTTCCTTTTTGGGACAAGTGTTTTACATAGCTTGGAATGCTCACATCCAGTATTTGAGTCCCATATTCACTACCTGGCTCTGGCCCTTGAATCTAGCTTGCTGCTAATGTAGACCCTGGGAGGCAGTGTTGATCACTCAGATAATTGGATTCTTGTCACCCAGTGAGCAAGAGAGACCTGAATTGAGTTCCCAACTTCTGGCTTTGGCCTGATTCAGACCAGGCAGTTGAGGGTGTATGAGGGGTGACCAACAGATGGGATTGCCCTCTCTTTCTCTCTCTGCCTCTCAAAAAAAAGGATTTTTTTTTTTTTTTAATTCCGGTAAAGCAAATTCAGGAGGGCCTCTGTGGTTATTGTTTTCCTGCACTTAAATGTAAATAGTAAGACCAAATCTAGTGGGCCCAGATTACTTCATAAACAAGAATGAATGAGGGGTGACTGTAGTGAGAAATTTTTTTCTGTTTTGTTGGAAAACTATGGTGCACCCTTATAGATTCTGCTGTGCACATTTTGCCAGTCCTTAGAAAATTCCCTGTTCTTCTATTTTCCTCCACTATCTGGCCACATTGAATGTTTCCCATTTTCCCTCCTGGCTTGGCATAACTAAAATTACTCCCTTCTGCTGCCCTGTAAGCTGAAGCTGGATGACTTGATATAAACTGCAGAGCAATCACCACCATCAGTCATGCGTGGACAGTCTTCACGCCTGATGACACCTTGATGACATTGCAGAGATATTCACACTGCAAGCCAGGAAACAGGTTTGTCCTCACTCCACCTGAAGATGCTTCAAGCCCAGCATCTAGAAATCTAGAACTGCCTTCTGGACTCATTTATCTGGTGCTTAGTGAACAGGAGTGGCAGAATGAGACAGTGGACCTAGGTTGTTCAAAGGAAAGAAGAGACGTGGCTCAGCTTTCCTTGAACGAGATGGCATGACAATGACTCCTGTACTTCCAGCCCTGTAACAAATATCACAGAGTGGTTTTGCTTTTAACAGTTGGCTTGAACAAACTACAGGAATTCTCATGCAATGTTCTGAGAAGTTTTGATTGCTTTTAGTTACTTAAAACCTAAGTCATATGTAGAATACATTTTTGGATCAACGTATTTTTTGATATTTCTCTACAGTGCTTCGCATAAACATTTGGAGGTAGGTAAAAGAGTTTAAAATGTAGATTCAGGGGCTGATGTTGTGGTGCACAGTGGGTTAAGCTATTGCTTGTGACACTGGCATTCCATATTAGAATTGGTTCAAGTCCTTCCTGCCTGGTCCTGGGAGACCAGGATAGAGTTCCTGGCTCCTGGCTTTGTCCTGGCCCAGCCCCAGCTTTTGCAGTATTTGAAGAATGAACCATCAGAAGAAAGACCTCTTTGTTTCTGTCTGTCTCTCTGTCACTGTGCCTTTCAAATAAATAGTCTTTAAATACAACTTTAAAAATTTTTTCCATTGGCCAGTGTTGTAACACAGCAGGTTAAGCCAGCACTTGCAATGCCAGCATCCCATATCAAAGGACCAGTTTGATTTCTGGCTCTTCCACTGGGAATGCTTAGCAGATGATGGCCCAAGTAATTGGGTGCCCATCACCCATATGGGAAATTCAGATGGCATTCATGGCTCCATTGGCTTGACCCAGATCTCGCTCTTGTGGTCATTTGAGGAATGAATGATCTCTTTAACTCTCTCTACTTTTCAAATAAGCAAATTAATATTTGTAAATACATAAATATTTTTCTGTTAAAACTATGTAATCATAATAAAAAATTAAAAAATATAGTTAAACCAAGAAGGAGAGAGAAAGATCCTTGAAAGACAATCATGATATTTTGGAGTAAATCCAACGTTTATTTTTGTTTTTTTTTTTTTAAATAGTATTTTTAAAAAGATTTATTTATTTATTTATTTATTTGAAAGGCAGAGTTACAGAGAGGCAGAGATAGAGAGAGGTCTTCCATCGACTCGTTCACTCCCCAGATGTCTGCAATAGCCAGAGCTGCACTGATCCGAAGCCAGGAGCCAGGAGCTTCTTCTGGGTCTCCCACAAGGGCCCAAGGACTTGGATCATTTTCTGCTACTTTCCCAGGCCATAGCAGGGAGCTGGATTGGAAATGGAGCAGCTGAGACTCAAACTGGCACCCATATGGGATGCTGGCACTGCAGGCAGCAGCTTTACCCTCTGTGCCACAGTGCTGGCTCCAGTCCAACATTTGTTGAGAGAGTACCAGGGTACTCTGGCCCTTGTGGACTGAGTGAGTTTGTGTGTGAGTGATGGAAAGAAGCAAAAGTGAAAGAAGAGACAGGAACTACCACAAATTCAGTGCTATCTGTGGCCAGGCACTGTGCTAAATGTTTTAATTAAACATTTTTTTGAGGTAGGCATTCTGCATCCTGTTTTCCAGAAAATAAAAATCTGAATTTGGAGATAGTTAGTATCTTGTCTTGATAAGAAGTTAGAGTATGAGTCCAAATTTCATATTTCTCTATGAATGAATGAAAAACTGATAATTCTTAAATGAGAAAGCTAACTTTTGACATATTTAATTAAAATTACCCTTGAGAGGCCAGAGTTGTGGTCCAGTAGGTGAAGCTGCTGCTTGCAATGCTGCCATCCCCTATTGGAGCACTGGGTCCAGTCCTAACTGCTCTGCTTCTCATCTGCTCCCTGCTGATACACCTGGGAACGCAGTGGAAGGGGGCCCAAGGACTTGGGTCTCTGCCACTCAGGAGAGTAGGATGGAGTTACAGGCTTCTGGCTTCAGCCTGGCCTAGCCCCAGCCATCGTGACTGGGGAGTAAACCAGCAGATGGAAGATCTTTCCTCTCTCTCTCTCTTTGTTATTATGCTTTTCAAATAAATAAAATCCTGGAAAGGGACTCCTCTTGATAAAATGTAACTTTTGAGATAATCTTAGGATTTTGATTGTGTGCATAGAGCAAGAAATTACAGTATTCTCAGAATTGCTTTCCTTGTGTTAAGTGGACAGAACATATAAGGGGCTACTGAGAGAAAACACAGATTTTTTCAGATAGGTTTTATGGACCTATGAGTGACTACAAACAGTTTTTAGTGATTCTTGGTTTAAGTTGCAGTACACACTGCCACAGGGCTGAAGTCTTTTTAGTCTTGATGAAATATTTGAAAATAATTAGGGGCCGGTGCTGTGGCAGTGGGAAGTTTCCACCTGCAGAGCCGGCATCCCATATGGGTGCCAGTTCCAGTCCCGGCTCCTCCACTACCAATCCAACTCTCTGCTATGGTCTGGGAAATTAGTAGAAGATGGTCCCAAGTCCGTGGGCCCTTGCACCCGCATGGGAGATTCAGAAGAAGTTCCTGGCTCCTGGCTTCAGATCAGTCCAGCTCTGTCCATTGCAGCCATCTGGGGAGTGAACCAGAGAGTGAAAGATCTCTGTCTCTCCCCATCTGCCTCTGCGCCCCTGTAACTCTGTCTTTCAAATGAATAAATAAATCTTTAAAAAAAAAAGAAAGACATCATCTTTCTAAAAAAAAAAAAGAAAGAAAGTAATTATATATTCTCCACAGCAAAGATTGTTCAGTGGTCTAATACAAATATCTATGCTTTTCTTTAGACTTTTCCAAATTTTATACCTCAAAACTATAAAGAAGACCCAGTGAATACCCATTTACCTTTAACTACATTTACCAATTGCTAACTGTCTTGCTAATTTTCTTATTTATTTCCTTTAACCCTTGCTTTCTTCACACACAAACATATGTGTAAATGAGCACTGTTGTTTTTACTGACTGTTTAAAAGTTGTAGGCATCATGACACTTCACTAAATATCTCAGCAGGTATTTCTTAAGAATAAGGATGTTTTCCTTCATTACCATAATATCATTATTACACACTGGGAAGTTAATATGATAAATAATGATATATTTAAAAATATATGGCCGGCACTGTGGCTCAATAGCTAATCCTCCGCCTTGCGGCGCCAGCACACTGGGTTCTAGTCCCGGCCGGGGTGCCGGATTCTTTCACGGTTGCCCCTCTTCCAGGCCAGCTCTCTGCTATGGCCCAGGAGTGCAGTGGAGGATGGCCCAAGTGCTTGGGCCCTGCACCCGCATGGGAGACCAGGAAAAGCACCTGGCTCCTGCCATCGGATCAGCGCGGTGCGCCAGCTGCAGCGCATTGGCCGCGGCGGCCATTGGAGGGTGAACCAACGGCAAAAGGAAGACCTTTCTCTCTGTCTCTCTCTCTCTCACTGTCCACTCTGCCTGTCAAAAAATAAAAAAATAAAAATAAATAAAAATATATTTGTATAGGGTGAACACAATTTTATATATTTCGTATATACAGATTTAAGAGCATAATGATACTTCCCCTCCTAACCTTACTCCCACCCTCCTTCCTTCCTTTCTTTTTATTTTAATTTTTATAATGACATGCTTTCAGTGTGTTTTATAATCACAGGCTTAACCCTCCAGCAAGTAAAGAATTCAGTAAGTAGTAAGTAGGAAAGCCACTGTTTCTCAGGAGTGTAGGCCAGGGCCGTGCAGGTCGCACTCAGATTCCCCAGTGTTGAAGACCTTTGCAGATTCCTGTTTTTCCAGTCAGAAGTCTCACACTGCATTTGTTTAATGACTCTTCAGTCGCCTTTCCTCTTGTGCTCATCGTGTCTCTTTCATGACAGTGACATGTTTGGAGAATTGAGGCTGACAGTTTGAATTTGTTTTCTCATAAAATTCCAGGTGAACATTTTGGCAAGAAAAATGAATAGGTGTGTACCAAGGTTTTAGCACTAAAGAAATGTAGAATGAAACAAAGGTCTCTTTTCCTCTTTTCTTCTCTGCAGGATTCTGAACACAAGCAGTTTGCTCTGTGATTGCCATTTGAAGTGGTTCCTTAAATGGCTGGTTGATAACAACTTCCATCATTCTGTGAATGTAAGCTGTGCGCACCCTGAGTGGCTGGCCGGGCAAAGCATCCTGAATGTGGACATGAAAGATTTTGTCTGTGGTTTGTATTTTTGTTTTAAAATTTTATATATTACACACTTAACTATCTCAATAACAGGATCAAAAATAGAAATTAGTTGCAAGTTTTTGGTGTAGTGGTTAAGATGCTGCTTGGGAAAATTGCATCCCACATATGAGTACTGGGGTTCAAGCCCAGTTCCTAGTTCCAACTTCTGCTAATGCAGGTCCTGGGAAGCAGAAGCTGATGGCCCAAGTGGCTGGGTCAGATTGATTTCCTGGCTCCTGCCTAGCTTTGCTGGCTGTTGCAGGCATTTAGGGCGTGAACCAACAGGTGGATGATCCCCATGCCTGTCTTCTCCCTCCCTCTCTCTTTCTCTCTCTCTCTATCTTGCTGTCTCGCTAACTCTCTTTCAAATAAAAAAAAAAAAAATTAAATAATAAAACCACAGTGCTTTCTCACTAGCATGTAGTATTTCTATATCTATGTGTTCTTCTCCAGCCATGTTTCAGTTTTTATGAAACATGGTTAATGTTTTTATATTTTTGATATCATAGATTAAATTTTGTATTACATTTTTTTTTTAATTCAAGTGGCCAGAAACAGATCTGCTATCTTTTGGTTCACTCTTGAAATACCCACAACAGCTAGGGCTGAGCCAGGTCAGCACTGGGAGCCAGGATTTCAGTCCAGGTCTCCTCCATGAGTGACAGGAATGCAATTACTTGTGCCATCGTCTGTTGCTGTCTTTTAATTTTTATTTATTTAAAAGGCAGAGAGAGAAAGCGCACTGTCATTCATTGATTCACCCCCCAAATGCCCACAATGGATAGGGCGGGGCCAGGCTGAAGCCAGGAACCTGGCATGCCATCCAGGTCTCTCATGTAGGTGTCAGGAACCTAGCTACTTGAACCATTCCCTGCTGCCTTCCAGGGCACACATTAGCAGAAAGCTGGAAGCGGGAGCAGAGCTGGGACTTGAGCCCAGACTCTCTGATTTGGGATGCAGGCCATCTCAATTACTGCAGCAAAGGCCTGCCCCACTGATCAGTTTTTACTGGTAGTATAATAGCACTTTTATGAATGTAGGCCTTTTCCTTTTAGGAGAGTTTCTTTATCAAAATTTTTATTTATTTATTTTTTTGCATGAACATTTTTAGTAGATCTTGAAAAGTGCTACGAGGTATTTTCCGAAAAGATAGCTTTAGTTTATATTGTCATCAGCATTGCTGTACATAGATAATAGTGTGCCCATTTTGTGCATTTTTGTTTTTAAAGGTTTATTTATTTATTTGAAAGGCAGATGACACAGGGAGAGAGATACTTTAATCTGCTGGTTCATTCCCCAAATGGAGGGCTAGACCAGACTGAAGCTAGGAGGCAAGAACTCTTATCAGGGTCTGCATGTCGGTGGCAGGAACTCAAGTAAATGAGCCATCATCTGTTGCTTTACGGGATCATTACCAGGAAGCTGGATCAGAAGTGGAGCAGTCAGTACTCTAACTGGCATTCGGTAATGGGATGTAGGCAGCTGAAGCAACAGCTTAACCCTTGGTGCTGCAATACTGCCCTACCACTTGTCACTTTTATAGCCCAGTGAGATGTTATTCAGTGACAGTATTAGTGAAGAAGCATATACATGCTTCTCTGAATCATTCCACTAGCATTTTTCTTTCTGAATTTGTAGTTTATTAGCCAGCCCTAAGCTAATCTTCAGATGTACATTTGACGTGTTTGGAATTTTTTGCTGTTTTCATTGAAAACCATGTACATAGAAGTACTTTCAAATAGTGTATTTTATTAGTGGGAATTTATTGTGAATTATAAGTTCATGTCCACATTTTATATATTAGCACAGAAAAGATAATGACTGTTATACTCCTCTTTACAAAAGAGGGTACTTCAAAAAGTTTCTTGGAAAAAGAATTTAAAAATATTTATTTTAAATTCATAGTTTTAAAAATTTTTTAGATTCATAGCTTTTCCCATAGTATGCATTTTTCATGGATTTTTTTTAAAAAAGATTTATTTATTTGAAAGGCAGAATGACCAAGAGAGAGAGAGAAAGAGAGAGAGAGAGAGAGATATCTTCAATCCACTGGTTCACTCCCCAAATGACTGCAACAGCTGCAGCTGGGCCAGGCTGAAGCCAGGAACAGGAACTTCATCCTGGTCTCCCACATGGGTGGCAGGGGCCCAAGCACTTAGACCATCTGCTGCTGCTCTTCCTGGCACTTTAGCAGGAAGCTGGATTAGAAGTGGAGCAGTTGGAACTCAAACCAACACTCCCATATGGGATGCCGTAATTACAGGAAGTAGTTTAACCTGCTGTGCTGTAACAGTGGCTCCATTTTCCATGAACTTTTTTCAGGCTCCTCATACACATGGATTTTTACTTCATTTTGTACCCAGATAAACTTATCTTTTAATTCTACTTTCCACGCATACATCATATACATATATACGAGGGGTATAGATTAAAACCTATTTTGAAAATCTAACACATTTTTTCTTTCTCCTCAGTAACTGATAGTGTTTAAGACACTATCAAGGGACACACAAATGACAGCAAGGGAATAGGGAAAAGAGTACTGATTCCTTCAGTCAGGAAATTTGAGTTCCAGTTTGTTTTTAAGCAAGTCATTGACTTGTCTGGGCTTCATTTTTCCACCTTTGAGCAGGGAAGTGTAGATTCTAGCTCTACAGTCTCTTTCAGACTCATACGCTACCTTGTAGACAAGACACAGAGTTTTACAGTGTTTGTTTTAAAATTGAATCCAAAGATGTAGACATTAAGAACTGACTTGGTTACTGCTACATTTTTTCCTTCAGATGATTTTCTGAAACCACAGATAAAGACACACCCTGAAACCACAGTTGCTCTGAGAGGAATGAACGTGACTCTGACATGCACTGCCATGAGTAGCAGTGACTCACCCATGTCTACCGTGTGGCGCAAAGACAGTGAAATCCTGTACGACGTGGATATTGAAAATTTTGTTCGCTATTGGCAGCAAGCTGGGGCAGCTCTGGAATACACTAGCATCTTACATCTCATCAATGTGAATTTCACAGATGAAGGAAAATATCAGTGTATTGTCACTAATCATTTTGGTTCCAATTACTCTCAGAAAGCCAAACTGACTGTGAATGGTAAGGAATTTTGCTCCTTGATTTTGATTGATTGATTGATTGATTGATTTTTTGACAGGCAGAGTTAGAGAGTGAGAGAGAGAGAGAAAGGTCTTCCTTCTGTTGGTTCACCCCCCAGATGGCCGCTACGGCCGGCACGCTGCAGCCGGCACACTGCGCTGATCCGAAGCCAGGAGCCAGTTGCTTCCTCCTGGTCTCCTATGCGGTTGCAGGGCCTAAGCACTTGGGCCATCCTCCACTGCCTTCCCGGGCCACAGCAAAGAGCTGGATTGGAAGAGGAGCAACCGGGATAGAACTGGTGCTCCAACTGGGACCAGAATCTGGGGTGCCGGCGCCGCAGGCAGAGGATTAGCCAAGTGAGCTGCAGCGCTGGCTGATTTTTATTTTTGCTGTTGCTGTTCAGAAGGATTTTTCATGTTCACTTCTTGAACCACTCGACCAAGAAAATTAGACTAAACCTGACATTTCATAGGGGGATCTCAGAGGGCATGGGTGGGTTTTTTGAGTTAGCCTGTCTGCTCACCTATGGTCCATAATTGGGCTTTGGTTTTGAGTGTTAATTTCATGGTCTTAGGACATAAATTATTTTCACTGCTGTTAATGCTTTTGAAAACATTCTTTTAAAATCCTCAATTTGCTTCCTAGAACCTTAATTCTCTTCTGAAAACTATGAAATGTATTCCCATGCTGTTCACAGGGCCTTCTAATAATTGGGAATATTTGGAACACCTCTGGGTCCATTGATCGTTATTGTCATCTAAATGTTGTCACACATTTTAAAAGTACTGTCTTCTTTCCTATGGCTTTAGAAAACTTCTCAAGGATAGCTGGTTTTATCCACTGTCTATCAGGTTGAATAACCATGACACTTTAGGCTTTGTGCAACCACAAGATATACTTGTGTCTTAATATTATGTGCTTTTTTTGAGATTTTTGAAGGCATACTTTTTTTTTTTAACATGCAGTTCCCTTGACAGCTTTGTAGATGTTAGCTTGCAAAGCACTGTTTATCTTTGAAGTGAAAGAGTCCTAGTAAGTATCAGGATCTAAAATACAGAATTCAGAAAGGTTTGTGGCCTTTTGCTTTTCCTTTTCCCATCAGGATGATCAGGTAAGTGTGTTGTGCATCCTAGAAAAGTTCATCATCATTGTGCTCCAGTTATGAGCTTCTGGGAGAAGAGGTGGCCTCTGATCTAACACTATGTTCACTGTCAATCCAGAGAGTGTGTCATCTTCATAAAGCAATGGAGCCCAACCACAGTTGGTAATTTGCCTACCAGAGTCTCTCGTGTATACTGGGGTGTGTGCATGGATATGTATGTGCCTGTTTTCCTCCCAGCCACTTTATCTTGATGTTCTTTGTTGGAACAGAGATGCCATCTTTTCTGAAAACTCCAATGGATCTAACCATTCGCACTGGTGCCATGGCCAGGTTGGAGTGTGCTGCAGAGGGACACCCTGCACCTCAGATCTCCTGGCAGAAGGATGGTGGTACTGACTTTCCTGCAGCTCGAGAAAGACGTATGCATGTCATGCCTGAAGACGATGTCTTCTTCATTGCCAATGTGAAAATAGAAGATATGGGGGTCTATAGCTGCATGGCCCAAAATATAGCAGGAGGCCTCTCAGCAAATGCTTCCCTAACAGTTTTAGGTATGTCTGCTGCTCCATGAGTCTCTGCTTTTCTTAGAGACTTTCTGGAGCTATTCTTGTTTTTAATGGGCAAGAAAAATAACTTTGAGATTTCAGTTGTGATTCTTACATCTTTGTTATCATATTTGGTTGCTTTATGAAAGGGTTATGTCAGCTTAGGAGTAATTAGTGGGTCAGATAACTGAAATCTAGGTAAATGAGCATAACATTAGGGATGTTTATCACATGAAATAAAATCCCTTTATCAGCTAGCTTGTCCTCTTTTTTTAAAGATTTATTTATTTATTTAAAATGCAGAGTCACACAGAGAGGGAGAGACAGAGAAAGAGAGATCTTCATTTGCTGGTTCACTCCCCAAATGGCCACAGCTCTGGGGCTGGGCTAGTCTGAAGCCAAGAGTCCAGAGCTTCTTCCAGGTCTTCCACTTGGATTCAGGGGCACAAGCACTTGGGCCATTCTCTGCTGCCTTCTCAGGCACATTAGCAGGGAAATGGATAACAAGGAGAGCAGCCAGGACCTGAACCGGTGCCCACATGGGATGCCAGTGTTGCAGGTGGTGGCCTTATCCGTTAATACCACAGGCAGAACTTGTCCATTCGCTGACTGATTACCCTAATGTCTACAACAATTGTGGTTGAGCCAGGCCAAAGTGAGGAGTCCAACAGTGGATTTCCCACATGGTGGCAGGGTGCTGCTGCGTTCCAGGTTACACATTAGCAGGAAGCCAGAATCAGAAGCAGATCCAGGACTAGAATCTAGATGCTGTGTTAGGGGATGTGGCTGTCCCTAGAGACATCTTTACTATTGTGCCAAACACCCACCCATTTGTGTATTTTTTATTATTTATTTATTTACTTGAGAGACAGAGTCAGAAGGTTAAAGAGCTCCTGTCTGCTAATTAACCCCCCAAATGTCTGCAGTGGCCTTGGGCTGGGAATCAAAACCTGGAGCTGGGAACTCAGTGCAGATCCCCCCACCCCCCCACCCCCCATGAGCCAGCACCTTCTGTGCATGATCTGCATAGCAGGAAGCTGGAGTCAAAGCCAGAACTAGGTGTCTAACCCAGGCACTCTGATGTAGGACGTAGGCATCCTAATCACCATGCGAAATGCCACCCCTAGACTTTGCTTAAAGTAAGTTTTTATGTAGTTAAATACACCTACTTTTTTCTGTAATAATGTACTACAAGGGTTGCTTTGTCCTTACAAAGTGTCTTCTTAAAATGTCATGTGGTGGGGCAGGGGACAGCATTGTAGTGCAGCAGGTGAAGCTGCTGCCTGTGATGCCAGAATCCCATCTGGGCACTGGCTCAAGTCCCAGCTGCTCCACTTGCTATCCAGTTCCCTGCTAAGGCACTTGGGAAAGCATCAGAAGATGGCCCAGGTGCTTGAGCCCTTGCCACCCACGTGGGAGGCCTGGAAGAAGCTCTGGGCTCCTGGCTTCGGCCTGGCCTGGCCCTGGCTGTTGCAGCCATTTGGGTAATGGACCAATGGACAGGTTTCTCTCTGTCTCTCCCCCTCACTGTGTAACTCTGCCCTTCAAGTAAATAAAATAAATCTTTTTTTAAAGAAAAAAAAATCATGTGATTTTACTATAATCATTTCCCTGCTAGTTTTTTGAATGTTTTCTTTAATTATTAAAAATTACAAGTAATTTTGTAATAAACATCTTTGTGTATTAATCTTTGAATTCCTTACTTAGGATAACTTGCCCATTACTGAAACATTAACTTCCAATCCCCCTTGAGTATATGAAAGTACCATTTACATAATACCCACACTTGTGTAATTTTGTGGGATTTGGGTAATAAAATTGCCTAACTTGATTTTTTTAAACATTCTTGGTAGAGACACCCTCCTTTATTAGACCCCTGGAGGACAAGACAATAACCCGAGGTGAAACAGCTGTATTACAGTGCATAGCTGGAGGCAGTCCTGCCCCTCGTCTTAATTGGACCAAAGATGATGGACCACTGCTGGTGACAGAACGACACTTCTTCGCTGCAGCCAACCAGCTCCTCATCATAGTAGATGCTGGGCTAGAAGATGCTGGAAAATACACCTGCATTATGTCTAACACCCTTGGAACAGAACGCGGCCACATTTACCTGAATGTCATTTCATCCCCCAATTGTGACTCTTCTCAGGGTAGCGTTGGGCATGAAGATGATGGCTGGACCACGGTTGGCATTGTCATCATTGTTGTGGTCTGCTGTGTTGTGGGTACTTCTTTGATCTGGGTCATTGTTATTTACCACATGAGAAGGAAGAGTGAAGACTATAGTATCACCAACACAGGTAAATGATAGCCAGATGGCATCTAAGCTTGTACTTAAGAATGTAGTCTAGGATGTAGCATATATGCAGTATAGCAGAGTGAGGAGCTGTGGTACACTACTCCATATGGAGTAGAAGGAAGTGGTTGCATTGAAGTTTCCAACTTCCTTGATATAATAGAGCCTCTGAGGAATATTTTAAGAATTTGTGAACAGTCCTCCAGAACTTTGCTGTTACAAACACGTTTCTTTGATGCCTAAGGCAGAGAGTGGAGTTCTCATGTCTGTGGTCCATCTTTAACCGCCCTCACCCTGAAATCTACAAGAGAGGAGATCCAACCAAATAGTTGTAAAAGTGTGTTTATACATAAGGGTTTTACCTTCAGGTGTGGTTCTTTTGGTAATACTTTTTTTTTTTTTTTAAAGATTTATTTATTTAAAAGGCAGAGTTACAGGGAGAAAAAGGGACAGAGAGAAAAAGTCAGTTTCTGTCCACTGGTTCACTCTCCAGATGGCTGCAGTGGTCAGGGCTGGACCTGGCCGAAGCAAAGAGCTTCATCTGGGTATCACACATGGGTGTAAGGGCCCAAGCACCTGGACCGTCCCTTGCTGCTTTCCCAGGCACATTAGCAGGGAGTTGGATTGGAAGTGAAGCAGCCATATGGGATGCAGGCAATGCAGGCGGTGCCATAGTGCTGGCCCCTCTTTTGATAATACTTTTAAATGAAGCTATGGGAAGAATTATTGTTTTTATTTATTTATTTATTTGACAGAGTTGTAGACAGTGAGAGAGAGACACAGAGAAAGGTCTTCCTTCCATTGATTCACTCCCCAAATGGCCACTATGGCCAGCGCTGCGCCAATCCGAAGCCAGGAGCCAGGTGCTTCTTCCTGGTCCCATGCGGGTGCAGGGCCCAAGCACTTGGGCCATCCTCCACTGCCCTCCCAGGCCACAGCAGACAGCTGGACTGAAGAGGAGCAACCAGGACTAGAACTGGCGCCCATATGGGATGCCGGCGCCGCAGGCGGAGGATTAACCAAGTGAGCCATGGTGCCGGCCCCTGGGAAGAATTATTGTAACAGATGGTTTTGGAAAGTACTAAGAGTTGTTGGGATTCCAGGTCCCTACCGTTTTCCTAGCCAATAGTATTAAAGTGGAACATATTCCCAAAGTAGTGAGTGTTGGCATCAGCCGCCTGGCTCTCTGAGTTACAGATATCTCTTTTACAGAGGAGCTCAATTTGCCCGCAGACATTCCCAGCTACTTGTCTTCCCAAGGAACCCTGTCTGAGCCACAGGAAGGCTACAGCAACTCGGAGGCAGGCAGTCATCAGCAACTTATGCCTCCCGCCAATGGATATATCCACAAAGGCTCTGATGGTAATGACACTCTGTTGGTGGTGGTTACAGTTTCATCCTATCCTGTGGAGTTAGTAGTGTGTAGTTTCCTCATTAGTCTGAAGCAGGATTTGAAGTCAGATGCCCAATGTAAACATTCAGCCCATACAAAATAGAATGAAAATTTCTGATTTTTTTTAAAAGGTCTCTACTCTGAAATTTGCGGTAAATAACACTGCCTTCTGGATTAGACTGAATTACTTCTAGTTCTCTTCCAGTTCTAATATTCTGCTGCTTGATCATGAGTAAGCAAGTCACTCTTCTTTTTTTTTTCTCTAAAGATTTTATTTATTTATTTACTTGAAAGACAGAGTTACAGAGAGGCAGAGAGAGAGAAGGGTCTTCCATCCGTTGATTCACTCCTCAAATGGCTGCAACAGTCAGGGCTGAGCCAACCCGAAGCCAGGAGCCTGGAGCTTATTCTGGGTCTCCCACCTGGGTACAGGGGCCCAAGCACTTGGGCCATCATCTGCTGCTTTCCCAGGCACGTTAGCAGGGAGCTGGATCAGAAGTAGAGCAGCCAGGACATATAGGATGCCGGCACTGTAAGTGGCTGCTTTACCTGCCACACCACAGCGCCAGCCCCAGTAAGTCACTTTATGTCTCACAATATTGCCTTTCCTTTATCATTCCGTTTTCAAAACACATAGTCCAGGGAGCTCTTTGTAAACCTTTTCTTCTGTCAGTCACCGTCTCGCCAGGCAGGACTCGTCTGTGAGACACTTTCATTAGGATTGCTTTTAGCAGTTGGCATTGTCTGACCTCTTGGCTCATGAAAGTAACATGGGTTTCCATGAAGTGACTTCTTCATAAGTATCAGTTCTTAGCATTAGTTTGCTTAAACCAAGTATGTGTCTTACAGCACAGTGCTAGCCCTGTCTTGGCTCCCTTGACTGGAGCTTGACCTGTCCAGGATGGACAGAGATGGTTTAATGTAAGTATTTCAAGGCCATAGGCTCTGGAGCTGGAGTGCCTGGCTTCAAATTTCAGTTTCTTACTCTGGCAATAGTACCTTGGTCAGGTTACTTAATTTCTTTGAGCTGTAGTGACTCTGTCTTCCGTGGAGATGTTGAGGAATAAACGGGTTAATTCATAGAAAGGCTTGAAACTTCACCTGGTTTGTAAAGTAAGTGCTAGCAAATGATAACTGTTAAAGAAAAGGGATGATTGACCAAAGTTTCCATGTCGTCAGTAGGTGGCACTGGTCCCCGAGTGATGTGCTCAGATTGTTGTGAGAGTGCCAACGTCTACTCCAGGACCCGAGAGTACTGTCCATACACCTACGTTGCTGAGGAGGATGTTCTAGATCAGACACTGTCCAGCCTTGTGGGCCAGGTACCCAAAGAGGCATATTTGACACATCCTCCCCAAGATGCCGCAGTCCTGGAGAGCCTGATAGCATCGGTAGACAGAGAGCTGTCTGCCTTTCCCACCAATCATGAGAGGATGAACGAGAAGAGACTGCCCTCCTCACAGATGAACAGTGGTAAGGGGTGCATTTTTAAAGTTTTGTTTTCATTTTTACCTAATTGCTTTTTCCTTCTGTCACATAGGCAGCACTGTCATTTGACAGGGAAGCAAACAAATTGGTATACTTAAGTAATTGGCCACTGTTACCTGGTATAAACTACGGTCAGAGAATGCTACCTAGTAGTGTTACAAAGAAGTCTCCATCTACAGGATGAAGACTTCTGTGGGGGTAACAAGATGGCACTACTGAAAACTCAGAGGCCACCAGAAAAAGCCTTAAGAACAGTTTCATAACGGGTATTAATTTTTTCTTCCATCTTTAAATGATGGAGATTTAAAATGCTAGGAGTATAATTTAGGCATGATTTGGTGAAGGTTTTTACTGAAAAGATTTTGAAATATTTGGTTGCTGTTCTCTCGGGTAAATGTTAACTCTTAGTAACTGTTTTCTTTCTCCTTTAAGGTCTGATCAGGGTCTTAAGTAGGAAGCAGTTGTGAAGTAATGTCCTTTGTCCTATGTGGCCCAGGAAAAGAAATGCATGATATATCGTGTAGATTAGTTTTTAGTAACAACTTGGTTAGTAAAACAGACCTCTTTCTGCACCCTGGAAGGCAGGTCAGCATGTCTGCCTGTCAGTCCAGGCTGTACAGCTGCCCCTTCCTGTTAGCATGAAATGAAGAGCCCTGGAAGTGGGCTGGGGTAAGAACTACAGGGTTACAGAGAAAGGCCAAGTGTACAGTGGAGCTTCTGGGGACAGGTCTGGCAGGAATGAATGATACACCTGAGACCTAAGATGTGCCCTGTGGTCCTGGAGACACCGACTCTGAAGGTCTCTCAAGAGGGTACATACAGGTCAGAGAAAAGGACTTACTGAAGGTTGTCTCTTAGCTTTACAGCCAGTGTCCATGAAAAAAATGTACCAACACAAAATCCATTTTTCCATGTCCTAGTAGAGTCTCCAAAAAAAGGGTTTCAGAAGAACCAAAACGCAGTGTACCTTTTTTCTAATCTTGGGAATGTCTTCATCTTTAATCTGGTCTGTGAGTGCTTTGGGGCATTGCCAAGTTTTTATTGAGGGAGCTTTAACTTGTCCTCCAGGGGTGGTCTGCAGACCATCGGCATCAGTTGCCCAGGAGCTTGCTAGAAAGGCACAGTCATGGTCCCACCCCACACCTCGTGAGTCAGCGTGTATGTGTGACAAGATCGCCAGGTTCTACAGTGGCGTGTGAAAGCTGGAGAAGCCCTGCATTCCACATGGGTTTCTTTTTTAGTGCTGAATGTGTCTCCAGAACATTTGGCTGACTTTTTTCAAAACGCACCCTGTGAAGTTAGTGTAACTCTCAGTGAAGAGTCGTTGGGAAAGAGCTCACTGTATGCTGGGAAGTGCACATTTTGGCAACCAAAATGCAGATAGTTGATTAAACTTAGCTACTTTGGGTTATTATTTAACTATTATATGCTAGAAGTTGGGAGGGGATGGTTGTTTTAAAACAATTTTAAAGCATGTTTAAAGATGTAATGACTGCAATGAATTGACGGTTATTATGTGTGTCATGAAGCTCTCATTACAATATGGATACCAGGAAGCCTCTTCTAACCTTTTTCCCTATATCTGATGTTTTATTTTAAAATTTTTATAGCAACAGAACCACCAGAGTAGCAGATAGATAGAATGAAAACCTGATAGAGGAGGATAACTTGAAAAAGTTTGTGGAAAATGGAATTAACAGTTTATCTTGCTGCAAAGTTTGGGAACCCGTGCATTGCATCTTCCTAGTACACATTTTCCATGACTTTCTGAAGAGCCCTAACACGTTACGCATGCTCTCAGAGATTAGTTGGTTTCATTGAGTAAAGGGTTTGGTAGGCTTTGGTTTGTTTTATTTTTTCAGTTGTGCCTAAGAATTGGCAAGTATACATTTGGGCTCAGTGTCCTTCCTCAGAAAGGCTAGGCATGTGTGTTGAGGATTTGGCTAAAAGGACAGTAAGTTTTAGGAAGTGACTTTGGAGCCTCAGGCACCGTTGAATTGATAATTGCTGTGGTTTGTTCTCAGAAGCCCTGCAGCATCCTCTGTGGAACGTGAACAGAGACCTGGGCCTGCCTCACCCTCCCTTCTCCCAGCAACCAGGCTTTGACTCTCCACAGCTCCATCAAAAGGAAGGCCTGGCTGAGAGCGAGCCGGACTGCTCTTCCTCCCCCGTGTCCTGCCACAGGTTACACGACCACGCTGTCAGTTCCAGGAGGACTCGGGACATTCAAAACTGTACTGAAGGCACATGAAACTCACTCCAAGGCGAAGTGTGGGCCGAGACTGAGAGTGGTTCATTTTGTATTTACTACCTCAGCGTTCAGAAGAAACCCCAAAGTCAGCATTTGTTCTACTCTTGGTTTATGATTACACCTGACCGCACCAGGGTGGGCCAGGCATTTGTTTGGGCTTATGCCTGCTGAAGAAAGGGTAACAGCTGACAGAAATGGGAGCGAACAGTCAGAGACACGCAGCACCGGCAGAGCAGGATAAGGGCGAGTGTGCTTCCTGCTGGCTGCACGGGCACGTGCCCGGGTGTGTGTTGCCCATCAGGAGGTCTCATTGCTGCTTCATGTTCCAGATCCTTCCCATCTTCAGAATGATCCTGAGAAAGCGACACTACTTTGATGTTCTGCTTTGCCTTCCGGAAGTAATTGGGGGCCTCCCAGAAGTGTGCCTGGGAGTCTTTGGGGATTTGCAGCAGCCTGTGGAGATTAGGGCTTTGATATTCAAAGTCTTGGATAGAATTTGGGCGCTTGACCAGCTGGTACCAGGTCAAAGGTTTTGTATTGTGAATTTATTTTTGTCCCTATTGCCCAGGGATTTCATTGTAAATATATGTGTATTGATAAATAATTTTTTATTCATTGATCATATGTGTTGGTTGCAGTGTAAATATTTTTATATGCCAAAATTATATATAATATCCAGTTATAATATTGACAGTAGCTTGTCAGATCATGGTCAGATTTTTTATAACTTGGCTTAATGAGATCTAAAAACTGTGTGTGAAGATCTCAGGACATAATTGTTTAGAAGCGTGTTTAGAGGCAGGATACCTAGTGGCTGTGTGCACACAAACACAGTCTTGCTGTAATTAACCGCGTTCTTCCTGCCTAGAGATGCAGTGTGTGATCGTTTGCCATCTGTTTGTGAGTGCCAGGTGTTGCTCCCCTTCTGGCATGAAAGGCTCGCCCTTCGAGGTGGCAGTGCGTCACAGCTGTGTGCGGAGAGGGGTGCTTGTTGTGGGAGTGTCGTCTGCCGGCAGGCTGCTTCCTTGACGGGGAAACCGAAGACTGCTGCTTTTCTGTGCTGTTTAATCTCTGTGCCGTTGCGCACGGTATACTTTCAGAAGGGAAGCATGCTCTTGGGAGAACAGGCAGAAATTCCTATGCTGTCAAACAGTGGTGTGGTCCTCCTTCTGTAAGTGTAATAAGCCAAAAAGTTTTCTTGGATTTCTGATATCAAAGAGCTTTATATAAACAAAGAACACTCTCATGGAATGTAATGAAATTCTTCTTTCTTTGTGCTTATACAGGCTGTCCAATTCTTTCCTCTAAATCTAATCTTAGTTAACTTACTAGATGGCTCTAATCACTTAAAAATGTATGTAAGTCATTGTGTTCTGAACTCATAGAACTGCTCAGCTTTTTGTCAAAGTGCAGCTGAATTTCCTCCTTGTTTTTCCCCTAAGTGTGTCTAACATGGCAGCAGCACTTTGGAAAGTACTGCAGTGCCTTGCCTTTTCCTCTGTATGCTGTCAGCCTCTGTTTATTTTCACTTGGAACCACGTAAATATCACAATTTTCCCATCCCTTCCATACGCACTCCCTCCTCTTGTAGGATTATAGTGTAGTTTGTCCTGGGCTCACTCGGAGCTAAGAGACTGCTCCTTACCAGCAGTGTAATCGGAGGTCGAGTCCGTTTGCTTTGCTAGGCTCTGTCTTCTCATTTGTGAAATGAGGGCATTTACTAGACGCTCTGAAGCCCTCTCCAGCTGTCACATTCTGTGAACCTAATTCCCTCCCGGAACCAAAGAGGATTATGTGACGTTAATAAAAAGCTGCTCTCATGAAATGTTCGTTAGAGTAGAACAAGAGTGATGCTGCTTACTCTGACTTGAGCCAGATTTATCTCCTTTGTAGCAGGAGTAATGGTCTAAGAAATATCCATGAGGAGAAAAAAAACCTTCTTAACAGTACCAGTAAAGCTGAACCCCTGATCAGGCCTGCAGCCTGTGCTGTGGTGCCCCGGGCATCAGGATCCGCTGCGGCGGTGCCCGTTTGTACCTTTCTGTTGTATTCAAGCTGTCCCTGTAAGGTTGCACGTGCAGTCAAGTTCTGACAGGCTTTCTTGAGTAAAACGGTGGATCTGAGGCTCGGCTGCCAGGGAGAGCCAGGAGCGTGAGCTGTCGCAGGCGAGAGGGCAGAAGAGGGGCCGTGAGCCTGTGCTCTGGGCATTAGCCCCTCCCCCTGACTGTTACGCCAACTCAAGTAGTTGAGATGTCCCCCCAGATATGCCTACTTTGCCTGAATAACTAGTCTGGGATCTGGTTAAATGTGAAGTAGCTGTGGTCTTTTTTAAAAATTAAGAAATTCTAATCCTAGGAAAAGGAATTCCTGCAGTTTTTCATGACAGCCCGTGTTTTAACCAAACAGTGCTTTACCCTGAAGATCAACAGGATTAGTGACTCATCCGTGTTTCTTCCTGACGGTGCATGTCTCCTAGTGCTAACTCCGTGGGCTGTGGCAAAGCAAGGCTGAAATGCAGAGAGGACCCACCCCCACCCCACCCAGTTTGTAGTCCAGTGGCTTTTTTTTTTTTTTTTTTTTTTTTAAGATTTATTTATTTGTTTGAGAGGCAGAAGCAGAGAGGTCTTCTATCTGCTGGTTCACTCCCCAAATGGCCACAACAACAGCCAGAGCTGGGCCAATCTGAAGCCAGGAGCCAGGAGCTTCCTCCAGATCTCCCACAAGGGTGCAGGGGACTTGGCCCATCTTCTGTTGCTTTCCCAGGCACATTAACAGGGAGCTGGATCAGAAGTGGAACCACTGGTCTTTGAACCAGTGCCCACATGGGATGCCGGCACTGCAGGCAGCAGCTTTACCTGCTACACCATAGCGCTGGCCCCCAGTGTTATCTTTGTGCCCCTCTTAGGCTGGTCCTCCCAGTTTACCTGGAAGAAGCAGCAGTATTTTGCTTCAACTCCAAGGTTGTTGCCAGCATAGGATCTAACCCTCTGCCATTGATTTTCTGTCCTGGTGGCTTCTCAAGTACTTTTTGCTTTCCAGAATACAGATTGTCAGAAACCTAGCCTAATGTACAAGTGCCCCTACAGCACCGCCTCAGACTGCCCTAAGTGTGGGTGCTTCTGTCAGAAAGTGGGCATGTTTAAAACAGCTGCCTTCACATTGCCCACTGCAGGGCTGTAAAAGGAGCACTCAGCTGCAAGTTGTTTAGGCCCCGTTTTTCATTTTCCGTTGCAGAAGGACTTAAAGGGTTCATGTGGAACGAGGAGTTTATTCCAGAGGACAGGAGTCACATGACATGCAGGGGCTGTAGTGTTCTCGCTGGTAACCCTCTATCAGCTAACACATTTATGGAACAGTTGGAATAATCAGCCTTTCAGGAAAGATAGGTAATCATCTGTGAGTAGTGTTGAAGAAATCCTTGCACTGAAATGGAATACGGGCAAGGGGACTGTTAAGGAAACCCCAGAAGCAACCCGATAGTCTTAAGAACTTTGTCTTGCAAAATCCTCTGTGCTGGGTTTAGAACACTTCAGAAATTTTTAAAAACTGAATATTGGGGCTTTGATTAACCTGATTCATGCCTGAAATCATGAAATTCAGAACTTATTTTTTTAAAAGATTTATTTATTTATTTAAAAGGCAGAGTGACAGGGAGAAAGAGACAGAGACAGACGTCTTCTATCCACTCATTCACTCCCCAGATGGCCAAGGCTGGGCCAGGCTGAAACCAGCCAGAACTCCAACCTGGTCTCCTACGATAAATTCTACATATTGTACCCATTTTCCTGATGTGAAAATGGAGGCTTAGACATACATGTCAAGGGATTTCTCAAGGTTTCAAGATTCAAATCCTTATCATTGACTACAAAGTACATGCTCTTTTTTTTTCTCTCTCCTTTTTAAAGCTTTATTTATTTGAAAGGCAGAGTTACAGAGAGAGAGAAAAGGAGAGAGAGCTTCTGTCCGCTGGTTCACACCCCGAATGGCTGCAATGGCTGGGGCTGGGCCAGCCTGGAACCAGCAGCTTGGAACTCCATCTGGGTCTCCCACTGAGTGACAGCGGTCCAGGCATTTGGGCCATCTTTTGCTGTTTTCTCAGGTACATTAGCAGGGAGCTAGAGTGGAAGTGGAGCAGCTGGGACTTGAACTGGTGTCCATATGAGATGCCGGCATCACAGGCAGTGGCTTAACCCACTGTGCCACTATGCTGGCCTCCAGAACATATTCTTCTGAGGAAGTCTATATATAGTAACACAATTGGCATTACTGTAATAAAATAATTAAAACCTGTAGCTTGTCACTACTCTCCTCTTACTCTTTGGTTGACTTTGTTTCTTACCTGTGGGGCCACAGTTGAAATGGGCTTGGGATTTGTGATCAGCTTATATCCAGTATTTTACCCAAGTGTGTTAACAGCCTTTTCTAATAGTGTCATTAGCCACAGAAATGCTGGTGTTCTATGTGCCGCCCTCCATTTCTCACTTGTTAAGGAATGCACATTATGGAGGTAATTGTGGAAACAGTTGGACTTTAGAAGGTGAAGTGTTTTGTTTGTTTTTTTCTCCAGCCTGCAAGTGACTTCCATTTTTCTGTTCCATGATCTGTTTCCCAGATCAGTGAGGCAGATTTTCCCCCCTACTTCCTCTACCCTAAACTTTTTTTTTTTGTTTGGAGGACAATCTAGGATCAGTTAGCCTTGATTTTCTTTCTATTTGGACATCTTCCTGCTTCGTTGACAAAAGTTAAATTTCACAATTAAGAGAGATATTACAAGCTGCTTTAAACCAAACAACACCTGAAAATCCAAGAACCATCTGGAGGTTTTGTGGATTATAAGGTACAGGTGTGTGTGTGTGTGTGTGTGTTTCAGGAGTTAAGATGTGTGTGGGTGTGTGTATGTGTTTCAGGAGTTAAGATTGTGTGTGTGTGTGTGTTTGTGTGTCTGTGTGTCTGTCAGGAGTTAAGATGTGACCTTCCCTCAAGGTTGTGTGTTGAGTGTTTCTGAGCAGGGCTGGTAATCTTCAAGGGGCGGGGCGGGGCGGGGCGGGGCAGGGCTGGGCGGGGCCAGGGCGAAGCAGCTTACCTGAAGCTGTTTTCAGCTGAGCAGAGCCAAGTGCTCTCTTCCCAGCTGTTGCTGTCCTCCAGGAGAAACTGACTGGGGGGTCAAGTGCTCCTGACCTGCACTGTGCAAAGGTGGATTCCCCTTCGCCTGCCCAGCCCCGGCTTCCCCTCTGTCAGCAGCAGAGCAGCTCTGCTATCAGACAGACAGAAGCACAGGCCAAGCTGTTCATTGTGACCCTCCCCTGGTCTCTAGTTACGTTCCTCACACGTAAGAATGTATATTTTACAGAGCATGCGTTTGTCTACTTGTTTGTCCACTGTGATATGTCTTCAATAAAGCTAAAATCCGTTAGGATTTCCTGGTCTTCTCTTCTTGAAGTACAGGGGTGCAGGGGTGCGTTTCGGAGTTTGTGCCCTTTTGGGGGGGCTTCCAATAGCCGAGCCAGGTAAAACGGGATAGAGGTGCCCTTCTCTAGTTCTTGCCACATTGCTCTGCCTGGCGTCTGCCACGGGCCACACCCTGCAGCCGTGAGCTTCCAGAGGGCAGGCCCCGCATGCCCACACAGTGCCAGCTGCCTGGCAGGTGTGGAACCATACACTCACTGGTTGGTGAGAAACTAGTTCAGAGAAGTGTTGGAAGGCAGCACTTCAGTTTGCTAAAGCTTTCACTGGCATGATTTGACGGACGTGCGTGTTAACATCAGCCTTGTCACTGCGCCGTCTTGTTGGGGCCACCACCTTTGTGACTGGCACCTCTGAAGTTCAAGTGCCGGGACTGACTCCATGGTGGATTTCCACCGCACCTTGGGCTTCACGAGGCGCTTCCCCTGGGCCTTCTCCATTTGAGTCTCCCAACACTTTTAGCCTGTAGATTGGGTGGACAGTTTTAATCTCACATTTAGTAGTTAAAGAAACAGGATTGGTGAGATCATCACGTACCCAGTGTCAGAAAGCCTTCAAATAGTCAAGCCAGGATTTGAATCCAGATTTTCCAACTGGGATGCAGGGTTTTCCGCACTGCGGTTCTGCAGTTCTGAGCAGAGACGCCTGTATAAACACGAGCAGAACCTCGGGCGTGAATCGCTTCCAGTGTGCAAGTTTGGACAAGAATGTTCCCTGGCAGCTGATCCTTACTAAATTTCTGATGGAGAAATAAGACTGCTATTCTCTTGGAAGGTGAAATGCAAAAGTGTTAGAGTTTTACTGTGTTTTCATTTTGGGATTGGGGCGTGCCATGTGCACAGTTACGGAGGTCCCTGTTCACATGCAGGTGTTAGAGAAGCTTTGACCCCGTGCTTAGCTCTCGGTGCTGCAGGCCAGTGGCTACAGGTCAGCAGCTTTGTAAAAATACAATGATGACTTTCTAGAAGAGGAAATCGAAGATAAAATACAAGCATAAAGGTTTTATAGATTCAATAGACACAAAGTTACTCTGTCAAACTGCTTTTAAAATGTGTAAATACCTACACATTTTAAATAGCCAGTGGTATTTAAAATGGCTTGGCCCAGGTCTGTCTGCCAGCCACTTTGGGAGGACTTCTCTCACTATGCAACGATGCAGTCATGTGTCATGATAGAGTTTGGTTTTTCTCATTTCTGGGGGTTCCTTTAAAAACTCCTTTTCTATTATTTATTGGAAAGAGAGTTCCTATCCACTGGTTCACTCCCTGAATACCCTCAACGCCAGGGCTGGGCCAAGGCAGGAGCCAGGAACACAATCCAGGGTGGCAGGAACCCAGTTACTGCATCCATCACTGCTGCTTCCCAGGGTCTGCACTGGCCAAAAGCTGGAATCAGGAGACAGAGCCAGTGCCGGGAATAGAACCCAAATGCCAGTATGGAGCCCGAGCACCTTACCACTAGGCTGAATGCCTGTTCCCGGGGTTTCCTTTTAATCTTGCTGGTAAAGAATGGTTGACAGGACCGGGCTGCTGCTTGCAGGCCCTTCACAACTCCTACTGCCAGTCCTGCTGTGTCTCTGGCCTCTGACTTAGGAGGGAGATCCTATCAGGAGGTGACGCACTGACCCTGTTTTCTTCTGCTACCCTGCTGCCTGGTTCAGCCAATCAAGAAACATTTTTGCATCTCTAAGATAGAGATTTGCCACTATTCTTTAGTTCCCAGACCATCACCAGAGCTAGCTGTCAAAGTACTTTGACAAAAAGAGGGAGGCATTAGTCACGGTTACTCTGGGGAGGAAGCAATGCCGTTCCTAGCAAACACATCCTGCCTTCCCCTCACAGATGGTTAAGTACTTGAGCTGCTTAGCACTTCATTGTCACAGTGGCCCCTCTGAGGGAGATGCGAGTAGTCCTGACTTTGAAACGGGTTAAGAAACCTGTCTTCATTCACATTTTTAGCAGGCAACAGAAGTAGGAGTTGAAATTAGGTCTTTTTGATCTCAAAGCACAACATTCCCCTATGCCCAGAAAGGAACAAAGTGAGCTTTGACCAAGCCCCTATTTATTGTAGGGGGTCTTCCTCTCCCTCTCCCTCTCCCTCTCCTTTGAATTGTTCACTGTTTTGGCTGAATTGTGCCTCCCCCACCTCCCTAAAATTCACGTATTGAACCCTAGAACGTCACACTGATTTTCTTTGGAGATAGGATTTTTTTTTTTTTTTTAAGATTTATTTATTTGAAAGAGTTACAGAGAGAGGTAGAGCCAGAGAGAAAGAGAGGTCTTCCATCCACTGGTTTACTCCCCAAATGACCGCAAGGCCAGAGCTGAGCTGATCGGGAGCCAGGAGCTTCTTCCGGATTTCCCACGCGGGTGCAGGGGCCCAAGGACTTGGGCTATCGTCTGCTGCTTTCCCAGGCCATAGCAGAGAGCTGGATCGGAACAGGAGCAGCCAGGACTCAAACTGGCGTACATATGGGATGCCAGCACTGCAGGCTGGGGCTTTAACCTGCTGCGCCACAGCACCGGCCCCTGGAGATAGGATCTTTAAAGAGGTAATGCAGTTCAAATGAGGTCCTTAGAGTGGACCCTGATGGGATCTGACTGATGACAGGAGATCCATCGTGGGAGGCCCAGAGGAGAAGCCCAAGGGGTGTGGGCTCCTGGACAAGGTAACCTCCTATGAGCCAGACGGCCCTCAGAAGAAAGCAGACCTGCTGACACAGTGACCTTGGACTACTAGCTTCTGGAACTGTGAGAAAACTGGGAAGCCACCAGCCTGGAATGTTGTGATGGTAACCTTGGCAAACTAACACAGACTCCCAACACCCCAGCCAGCTTGGGAGCATTTCCTCTGGATTCTGCAAATAAGGAAGTTGACTGGGGTTATGTGATGTGCCTGAGGTCATGTGCTATACCCGCTCCAACTGAGCTGCACTGGCCTCACCCCAGCTGGTCCTTCGTACACTGTAGGCGCTCGACACTCTCAGACACCCTGAGGGGAAACTGGAAATGAAGCCAGTGAGCAGTGCTAGCAGCTGTGCAGTGCTGACCCTCTGCACATGCCCAGCCTCACAGAAATTCAGACAAAAGGCATGTGCACCGCATGGTGCTCGCTGGAAAGCAAGGCACCGCCTTTATGGCATGAATGAGCACATCTGGGAACAAAGAAAAGTTATTTGGAGCATTCAAGAGTAAGTACTTTGGAACCCCCTGTGTACTCTTCCCTTCTAAGAGAAATGCTGTTTTTGAATTGGAATGTAGAATGACAGGCGCTGTCTCTTTTCCAAATGCTTCATCAAAGCCCCTGTGAATTCCTTTGTCTTGCAGACAACAGGGATGTGGGTAAGGTTGGCAGGGATGGAGGCTAGCTTGAATAATTTATTCGCTGGGGCAGCTCCAGCGACAAGTACAGGGGTGAGTTGCATGGCAGAAGTGGCTTAGTGCAGAGAAGAGAGTCCATTGTCCGTGGCCTTGTTCCACACACAGGTGACCTGTGGCTCGGGGACTGCACAGATAACTCTCCATAAAAAGGACCATAAGGGTAGGATTCAAGTGTGTGATGCTGAGAGTTTTGGACTTCTGGAGAAGTGGGGTCGGGGGAAAGCAGTGCACCTGTTGGCAGGGGTCTGCCTCACGGCTCTGCCCTGGCATGGGGGCCCGTGTCCTCTGGCACCCCTTCCAGTCCTGAGTCATCTGTGGTTCCTGCGCCATTTCCAGAAGTCCCCTGAACACAGAAAACGAACCCGCCAGGCAGGGAGGCAAGGAGAAGGCTGAGCACAGCCTCAGCCTGTGTGGACACTGCGGTGCTGCTGCCCGTGGGCAGTCCTGAGGCCCTAGGAGCTGGCTGTGCACCTTACTTGGTCCATCCTGGAAAGGCAGGGTGACCGAGGGAGAGAGAGGTCTTCCTTCTGCTGGTGGTTCACTCCACAGTCCCTAAACAGCCAGGCCTAGGCAGGCTGAGGCTGCAGCCAGGAACTCCCATCTGGGTCTCCCACGTGGGTAGCAGAGACTCAAGTACTTGTCGCATCCCAGGGGGCACATTAGCAGGAAGCTGGGTTGGAAGTGGAGGTGGGACTCGATCCCAGGCACTCTGATAGGACAGCAGGTGTCCCAGGTACAGGTTAGCCGGCTGTGCCACAACGTCCACCCCGGGGGACAGTGAGTTTGTAAAGGGAACTCCCACTTACAGAGATGGGCGGCTTAGACATCCTTTAGGTGTCTAAAGTTCCGTCTACGATGGTTCCGGAAGGTGGTGGGGATTAGGAGCAGCATACAGCTGCCTCTGTGGCTCTCACAGCCGGGTGCAGCCTTAAGAGGACCTTTGCTTAAGAAAAGTGTGCTTCTGTTCTGTTTTCCCTCTCTCCCTGTTAAACCCAAATGTTTCCTCCATCGTTGCTCTTCCTGCCCTTTTCCCAACCCCCAAGAAAAGCGTGTGAGTACAAGAAGCAAGGAACCAAACTCCCGCCAGTTTGCCGTCGGTGGCGGGAGTCCCATGGCCAGGTAGGGCCAGCCGGTTTGGGCACGTGAGGACTCCTCACCAGCCCAGGCTGAAGGTTCCCTGGGCCCTGCACTGAGTGCATGGGTTACAAAAGTCAGCAGTGGGCTTAGCTCCTTAGGTGCCTTGGGCCTCATTCTCCTTATCTGTGAGATGGAGATGACCACGCCCACCTTCCACGTTTGCTGGGAGGACTCGCTGAGCTAATGCACAGAAAGTAGCACGGTGAGTTGGAGCCACTGTTAACTGTTGTCATTCGAGTGCAGCACTCCCTCCCCCGTCCCCAGCTGGTGGCAGTTTTCCCAGTGAGGCATTTCAGTGAGAGTTCCAGATATCTGGGTTCTGAGCTGGATTTTGCTTAGAAACAAGCTAGAATCTCCTGAAACTGTGATGAAATGAAAGTATGTTCAGGAGCCAGTGCTGTGGCGGAGTGGGTAAAGCCGCCGCCTGCAGTGCCGG